CCCAAGAAACCCTCAGGATCGGAGGCTCCCGTTAAAAAAATGCACCAGAGGCTCACGTGCAGGGTGATTTGAATCTTTGGCCATTTCCCTGTGAGTTTCTAGGGCTCAGCTTGGGGCAGTCTGACAGGTTGCCAAGAACAGACCCCAATCAGGAACTCTGGGCCCCTCCTCCTGCCCTGGTAGGACCCACCACGATGTGTCTCAGGGCCAACCTAGGGCTTCCCTGTGGGCTGTCTGCTTCCTGGGCCCATCCCTGCCTCGGGGGCAGTTTGATTCCAGCTCACCCTCCACTGAACTGTCCACAAACCCAGCTTGCTGAGGATCCCAGGACCCCTGAGGGCCCAGAGCTGGAATCTTACCCAAATCTGGGCTCAGTCCCTAGCCTCCACATCAGACCCCAACAGAAGGATGACACCCTCATCTCAAGGGGTTACCTCCTGAGCCCGAGTTAGTTGGGCAGCCTCAATTCTTGAGATGATGGCTTTCATCGACACAGGGGTCACCAACAGTAGGGGCTCGTCTTTCTCCATTTGGGATCACTCTGTCAGTCACAAAGATGTCCGGTGTCTCTGGTACAGGGGCCTGGACACACGATGTTGGCTGCTTGGGGGTTAAGGACTCCAGGGCAGCTTCTGAGTACCCTCTTCCTAGCCACAGCTCCCTGTAACTGCCAGACATCACGTTCCAACTGACCTTCTTTTCTCCAGTGACATCATGAGGTTGATTGGAAGAATGACTCCCTGTCATCTATCTGCTTGATTATCTAGCTTTTTAATCCATCATCTAATATATATTAACTTGACCTGTTGCTTTTTAAAAATCATTAAATGTTATGCTCCCAAACTAAATATTAACAGCTAAAAGTAGGAAACAGCAATTAGAAAAAGTTCTTTTCCCAAAGAACTTTTAATTAAAAAAAAATTACAGCCAATCAATAACTAATGGGAATATATTTCAATTTGCACCAGGGGTCAGGGCTTAACCAACACTGTCACTGAAGGTAACCATCAGTGCCAGAGGCCTTTCTAAAACAAATGATTAAAATGGACATCACTGTATGCCCAGGACTAGAACTTTGCCTGGTATATAGTAGGCATTTAATAAACATTTGTTGAATTAATGAATCTGTAAGTAAAAATACATATATGTGCAAATTATTCTTCCATGTTACTGAAACATTTAACAGATAAGGAATTAAACATTGTAACTTCAGTTCTTAGCAGTGCCATAGCCACTTAACAACTTGTCACCTGACACCCACCTGTCTTTTACATACTATCATTCATTCACTTATTCAAAGTTAATTCTTTCATTGCCTCACTTACTCAATGAACACTTACTGGTAACGTTCTATGTTCCAGGCATGGGGCTAGACGCTAGAAATACAAAAAACAGTGAGACCTAGTTCTGTCTTTGAGGCAGTCACACCCTGGTTTATGGATACCTGTCTATCTATACATCTGGCACTGGATGGTCCTTTAATCCCTTATGATTTCAGAGCATGTTGTAGGTTACAAATAACTTATTTATCCTTACAAACATGTAGAGCCAGCTGAGGCTCAGAGTTATGAGACTTATCTAAAGTTACAGAGCTGGGAAGTACAGACTCAGGACTTCAACCTGCTTTTCTGATTCCCAATCTGAGGTCCTTTCCCCTTTTCTCCCTTTCTCTCCCTCCCCACTTCTTCTTTCTTTTACATATAATCATACTGATAATTAGATCACAAATAGGTACTTCCCTGGTGGTCCAGTGGTTAAATCTGCCTTCCAATGCAGGGAATGTGGGTTCAATCCCTGGGCAGGGAACTAAGATGCCACAAGCCTAAATTAGGGTAGTCACCAAGGAGAAGACACATAAAATGTAGACTGGGGGCTTCCCTGGTGGCGCAGTGGTTGAGAGTCTGCCTGCCAATGCAGGGGACACGGGTCTGTGCCCCGGTCCAGGAAGATCCCACATGCCACGGAGCAGCTAGGTCCGTGAGCCATGGCTGCTGAGCCTGCGCGTCCGGAGCCTGTGCTCCACAACGGGAGAGGCCACAACAGTGAGAGGCCCGCGTACCGCAAAAAAAAAAAAAAAAAAAAAAAAGAATGAACTACTGATACATGCAACAACATGGATAATCTCAAAAGCTTTATACCAAGTGAAAGAAGGCAGGCACAAACTACCACACACTGTATGACTCCATTCATATGAAATTCTAGAGATGCAAAACTATAGTGACAGAAAGCAGATCAGTAGGTGACAGGAGCCAGATGAGGGAGAAGCGGCTGACTGCAAAAGGGAACAAAGAACGTTTCTGAGGGGAGGAAATGTTTTATGTCATGATTATGGTGGTGTTTACATGACTGTACCATTTGTGAAAATTCACTGTACCCTACACTTAAAATTGGTGAATTTTATTATGTGTAAACTATACCTCAATAAAGCTGATTTTTAAAAATGCAATGTTTTATAATGCCCAAGACTGTGGCGGGATTGTGGGCAGACAGTGCAAGGGGCTGGAAGTTAGGAGGGTATAAGGAAATAACTCTTTCTCTTTTCTCAGGTGGCAAGTCTTCTCTTTTTTCCTTCCCTTAACCCTTGGGGCTGGGATGCTCCCTCCTCCAAGCCCCTCTCCCATGCAGTTCAGGCCAGTAGCAGCTCCTTCACCACAGTTCAAGGGTCACACTAGTTGATCACTAGCCCAGAAGAGATGCTTCTAAACCTTTTTTAAAAAAGCAGCTAACCCCCTTTTGCAAGCAAAGCCTTCTGTAGAACCTCACTATCTAAAACAGATAAAAGCAATGTCTTATTAGAATACATTTGTAAGTTCAACTTCATGATATCTCTGTATTATAAAATCATTCGATATCAACAAGCTTGTTCTGACAAACCCAAAAATTTTATACGTAGGACATTTGAGTGTATATATTTTTAAACTACTGTTTTAAAAATATTTAAAATATATTTAAAGTTTCTGGGTAAAAATGGTAGATTGAACACACGTATCTAATTTTGTTCTACTAAAAATATACTAAAACTATAGCAAAGGGATTTTTTTTAAGGCATAAGTGCACAAAGACAGGGAAACAGGAGAGGAGACGAGCAAAATACTTTAGGAAGCTGTTAAGCATATGGATGAGTGGTTGCTGATAGACTAGAGAAGGATGAATCCTAAGGCAGAAGTGGGGCAACCATATGGCAAATGGAATTAGTTGTGCCAGATTGCTGACCACCCCAAGAAGGAAGTCCTAAAGATGTGACATCAGAGGTTCCCTGCAGTGAAGCTCTTGGAGACAAGCCCCACTCATGTACCTCAACCCACAGAGCACAAACGCTTCTCACTGGGATTTTGGTAACCCATCCTTAAATGTGAGCAGACAACCAGGGATTATAGGACCTTCAAGCAAAGAATCTAACATGAAAGAGATCAAAACCACAGAAAAAGAAATTTGGAGAAAACAGTGATTATGCAAGAGAAGAAAACTTAAACCATCATTAGTAGTGTCAGAGATAAGCTATTGCAACATTGAAACAAAATAATATGCTATAAAAAGGAATAGCTGGAGAACAAAAATAATGTGAGAGTAATAAGTCTTTAAAATATTGAAAAACTCAGTAGAAGAATAGGAAGATTTGAGGAAATCTCCCAAAGACAAAGTAAAAAAGATGAAAAGTAGGAGAGAAAAACAAGAAATGAGAAGGACCAGTCCAGCAGATCCATCATCTGAATTATAGGAGTTCCAAAAAAGAAATAAGAAAGAAAATGGAAGTGAAGAAATCACTAGTGGGATGATTCAAGATTATTTCCCAGAAGTTAGGGGCACTGAGTGCCCAGCACTACAAATAGCTTCTCTAAGACATATCACTGCCATTTTAGAACACTGGAGACAAGGAGAGGTTCAGAGAGGGGGTAGAGCCCTTGCTCCACAACAAGAGAAGCCACTGCAACGAAGAGTAGCCCCCGCTCGCCACAACTAGAGAAAGCCCACGCACAGCAACGATGACCCAACACAGCCAAAAATAAAAATAAATAAATAAATTTAAAAAAAACTGTAAAAATAAAATGTGACTGATAAAAGTTTATGGAACCTCTGAACCACTTCTGCTGTGCCTAGAGGTCTCAATAATAATGTTTGAAAACAACAGGACTAGGCCCTCATTTGAGGCCATCTAGGTATTACAATGAAAACCAGATGAAGTTTTGGAATTCCCTGGTGGTCCAGCGGTTAGGACTCCACCCTTCCACTACAGGGGGCATGGGTTCCATCCCTGGTTGGGGAGCTAAGATCCCCCCACGTCACAGGGCGCTGTCAAAAACAAAAACAAAACACCCACATGAAGTTTCTCTCTACGTCGGCCCCAAGAATGACTCTCTCTTCCTTTCCTCCCATTTGTCACCTTTAATTTAGGACTTCTACTTCGTATTGGTTGCTTTCCTACCACTCCCCTGCTAGACTCTAAGCGCCTTGGAATTGGACCCAGGTGAGACTTCTTTGTATCTTCAGGACCTAGCACAGTACCAAGCACGGAGCACAGGCTCGATTAAGTGTTAATAAATAAAGGAAAAAAGAAAAACCTTTACCCGGGCCTTGGACAGAAGGTGCTCGACCTTTCTGCACCCGTATGCCTGGAGCTCTGTAAGTTACTAGCCCTGAGACGTTCAGCAGTAATTAAATAGCTTTAGGCTATAATTCCCTTACCTGTACAACATAACATTTATCTCACATCTTTATTCCTAAAATAAATTGCGCCCCTCGCCTCACGATTTCACCGCTTGGTGGGAGCCAAATCTCAAAAGAAGTAACTTTGGGGTCACGTAAGAAGCCCGTGTACGCCGCACAAGGGCAGGAGTTTCCCGGGATCTGTCTGCTTTTTTTCCCCACTGCTATTTGCCCAGTGCCTGGAACACTTCCTGGCACATAACAGGTGCTCAGTAGTTGTTGAATGAGTGAATTAAAGTGCTAAAAATACGCATCGAACCAAAAAAACGCTCTGTGAAGCGCAAAGATATCCCTACATTCGGAATGAATACTTGGGTCCAGCCTCTGGTCCTGGGAGCGAGCGCGTGGGATCCAGCCGCTCCGCGCGCCCTTGCAGTCGAGCCGCGAAGGCGGAGAAGCGGCGGGCCGAGGTCTGGAGGCGGCCGGCGGGAAGGGTGGGAAGGGCGGGAAGGCAGGAGAGTCGCGGGCGCGCGCTGAAGGGTCGGCACCCAAACTCAGGCCGCGAACCGCAGCCTGGCGTCGGCCCTCCGGCCGTCACTCAGAGCGCGGAGCGGGCGTGCCCCGCGTCCCGCCCCCCGGTAGGCGGACCCCGGACCAGGAGGCGCAGGGGCGGGGCCTTGCTCTCCGCGCCGGGGGTGGGGCCGGGCCGGGGCTCTCTGGGCCGGTGGAGGACCCGGCTGGTCGGCGGGAGCGACCGGAGCCCCGGCCACCAGGGCGTGCGACCCCCCACTGGCCCCGCCTTCCCGGCTGCGGCCGGCCAATCAGAGCGGCTTTTACTGGTGGGTGGGCCGAGCCGGCCCAGCTGCTCGGAGGCTCTGGCATGGTAACGTCCCCGCGCGGGTGTGGAGGGTCCTGGGTCGGTCCCACAGCGCCCCCGGCGGCCCGGGCCTGGGCCGGGGGGGCGGGGAGGCCGCCGGGGGTACCCGGGACCCCGGGGCAGAGCTAGGGGAATGAGGGGTTAGGGAGAGAAGCCAGGGAGGGGGGAGGGGGCGGGGATTTGGGGGAGAAGGGGCGGGGGAGGCCATGATGGAGGATGGCGGAGGGTGGGGGTGTTGAGGGGAACTAGGGTTGCGGGACTGGGTGAGGAGGAGCAAGGGATGAAGCGAAGAGTGCGTTCGTGGAGAAAGGTCGAGAAAGAAGAGGGGGCGAGAGATGTGGGAACCGGTGGACTAGGGGAAAGCTGGGGGCCACAGTTTCCCCCCTGGGATATTTGGCGTGCGACATGCCCCTTACCCAGACTCAGTGCTTGAACCCTTTGGAAGCCCTGGGTGCCCCATAAGACCTCTTGGAGACCCCCTCCTTCATTTCCCCGCATTGTCTCCTGAGGTGAGGAGGGGGCATTGTTTCCTGAGGAAAGAGAGGCTTCCGGCCCCCACGCAGTGCTGGACAGTCCAAGAAATGGGAGAGCAGAGGCTCCTTGGTCCCAATCCTGGCTCTGCCGTCAACAAACTCTGTAACAACTCTGTGTGACCTTGGGCAAGTCACTACCTTGCTTTGGGCCTCAGATTTCCTATCGATTAAAAAAAAAAAAAAAGGAAGATGCATGGGAATGACATCCTAGATCTCTTTCTGCTCCAAAACGGGGGGGTTCTTGAGAGAGTTCAGGAGAATGGGTTCTAGGACGTCGGGAAGCAAAAGAAAGACGAAGATGGAGGCTAGGCCTTCAGCTGGGGCTGCAGAAAATCCCCAGGGATGTGGGGGGATGGTAGGCACAAAGCAAGGATGGGGCAGGCTAGCCAGCGCCTCTGGAATCCTGTTGGAGGGATGGGAGAACTCTAAGTAGAGGAGGGGTTGAGACCTAACCCAAGAAAGATGAAGACCAGAAGTAACATTCTGTTCATCAGAAGGAGAGTGATGAGATGGCAGGATCAGAGAGAAGCAACGGAAGGTATTTTCTAGTATCTTTGGGGAGCAGGAGGAATAATGAGGCTGGTACAGGGGAGTGGGGACTAGAATGGTTTCGAAAACAGGGAGGGAGAGGCTGGTGCTGTTTGGGGCAGCTGAAGAAGGGCAGCAGGTAGATAATTAGAGCACAGGGTAATCAGCTGGTCTCTCAGTCTCCATGATACTTTTCTTTTTGATGATGGCTACCTCCTTCTGAGAGGTGTGCCTCCCAGCCTTCATTTTCCAGCACAAATCCCTTCAGGGAGTGAGCTAGACCTGGCCAACCTTGGGATCCCCTGGCTGTCTGAGGATTTCAGGATTGTGTGAGGATTGGGGTAAAAAAGAAAAGAGGGGAATGAATTTGAATGTGAGAAATACCTGTGGCACTATTGTCTTTGCTGGGAGGCCGCTTTGGGGTCAGACTGCTTGGATTCCAAACTTGCCTCTGCCATTTAATCTCTTGGAACCTTGGTCAAGTCACTTGATCTCTCCGAACCTCAGTTTCTTTATCTGTAAAATGGGGATAATAACCTCTAATATAATTGCAAGGATTAAACGAGTGTTTGGCATGGTATCTGGCTCATAATAAGCGCTCAGTAAATGTTATTTTTCCCTCTTTCCATTCTCTTCCTTCTGTCTCTCCAGTCTTCTCCTTTTCTCGTTTTGTTCTTCTGAATCTTCAGTTCTGAGATGCCCCTCAGATGTGGGGGCTGAGAAAAACTGATTGTATCTGTCGGGGCCAAGGGTGGTGGGGTGTTGGGGGAAATCCTCCAACTGGCCCAGGTGAACACATGATGATCAGATGATCAGTTATCTCTTCACTGTCTGTCCCCAGCCTACAAATGTGTTTTTGTTCCAGGGAAGACACATGATCTGCTTCTCTTTCAGCCCCCTTTCCTATATCCCTCTCTCATACAAGTTACATCTTCAGATTCTCACACAGAAGTATAATAAGACCTGAAGTTGCATAGGCACTGCAGCAAGTGAGATAGGGGCAGGGGTGTTTCAGGAAAGAAAGGCTACACGTCACACAGGGGAGGCTCAGGGAAGGGAGGGCTTTGGAAGTTCCATAGTAATTTATGTTCATTCCATTGCTGTGTCTTCTCTGGGGAACTGTCCAAAACAGGCTAGTGTCTGGATTCTGGCCAGGGGTCTCCATTCCAAGTTAAAGATGGTCATATACAGTAAGTTTTTAAAATTGTTTACGTTTTCCCGTGCCAGTATTTGGTTCTAGTTCACTTTCCCCAGCCACACAGACCTCTGCCAAACTGCCTGTCTCTCACATCACGGTCAGCTTTTACCCAGAGAATTTATACAAATGTACCTGGGTACATGTGCACACACACACACATTTGTCTGTTTTAGGATATTCCAGTATGCAAAAATAAGTTAAGGGGTGAGTCTGCATCTTATCACAGCACTTTGTGTGCAGGGCCCTGACTAGACACTTCAGAGGAGGCTTAAAAGGAGAAAACGCAATCCCTAAATGTAGGGAAATCCCCACCTGAGTAGGGAGACAGGCAGTCCCATGTGAAACACCCAGCAAGCATCCACAGAGTAGCATGTCACTCTGTGCAAAGTAGTGCAGCATTTATCCTGAGGTAGGAGTGTGTGTATTTGTGGAGGATAGTCATAAAGGTAACCTGAAGGAGGTGACTATTGGATCATCTTGAACAAAATAAGAGACAAAGAATAAAAGAAACACATGGAGTAATCTAACAGTTTGTGCAAAGAGGAGGAGGGGAGCCATTGAGTCAGGGTGAGCCAAGAGGAGTGTGGGATGGGTCTTGTTTAAAGGCTTCGAATGAGATGAGATGAGAGATTCTGTAGGGTGGGCAATAGGGACCCACCACTGGTTTTCAAGCAAGAAAATGTTGGAACCTTCCCAGTTTAACCACATGGGTCTCAGGGGATATGCTAGAGTGAGGAAAACAGAACTGCTTCCTGTGGTAAGGACTGTGCTTTTAAGGGAGTAGGGCTAGAGGGCAGATTGGATCCAGCCCTGGGACCAATTAGTCCCCCTTAGTTTTTTATCTGAAAAATGAGGACTGCCTAGGGTGGTTGCCAGCATCCTCTCCAGCTCTGACATTCTGTGTTCCCTGAATAACTGCTAGACCTTAAGATGGCTTTGTTTTGTGGGATTTGCCAAGACCATTCAGTCAGTAAGTCAAGAAATAATAGCACATACTGTGTGCCAATAGGGGGTGGTGAGGAAAATACAATGGGCATAGGATATTGGAGTAAGCAAAAACAGTCCCTGCCCCTTAGAGTTTTCAGCCTAGTGGAGGTGCCAGATATTTCATTGATTCTAAGACTCACATTTTAACATTTTTGAAGTCAAGATGCATCTTAAAATCAGTGGAGTATCATAATTTAATTGGCAGCATTTGTTTTTTATTAGTGCCACGTAAAATAAGAATACAATCAGAATTGTACAAATAACTGTAAAATTCCAGTGGATAATTGCTGAAGGGGGAGGTAACATGGTGTCTGAGTGTGTAAAAGAGGGCTCTGACTAGTCCGCTGGGTTGGAGAAAGGCATTCCTGAAGAAATGATGACTGCCAGATGTGAAGGATATGTAGGCGAGTTGTGTGGGCTTGGAAGGAAGATTGCCCCAGGCAGAGGTGGATGTCTGAGGTGGGAGGATTGAGAGAAGGAGCTTAGCATGGGTGAAGTAGGCAAGGCAGTTGGGAAGCAAACGTGCCACAGCCTCCCAGACCCATTAAAGAGTTTTAAGCAGGGGAGTAACATGCGTGGCCTGAGGTTGGAGTGGGTGTCGGGAGACCAGTCAAGAGGCCACTGAGGTAGGTCAGATGAAAAAAGAGGGGTGGTAGGGGTGGAGGAGGAAACGGAGAGAAATAGATGGATTCAAGAAATCTTTAGGAGGTAAAATTAACAGGACTCATTGATGTATTGACAAAAAAGAAGGAGGTGTGGTGAGTGACTCACAGATTTCTATCTTGGACAACTGTGTGAATGGTGGCACCAGTCTCTGAGATGGGCGACCCTGGAGCCTGGGAGGACCCAAAGATGGTTACGTAGCGTCTGGGAGGTTAGAGAGGATCCTGAGGCAGCTTGGGTGGGAAAGTGTGGCACAGAGAATTGGATTTCCTCCCATGTTGATTGGTTTCTGACTTCCACGCGGAAGAAAGTTTCAGGGGACAGGAGCAGGTCTGAATACAGGGCTTAGAATGTGTGATCCCTGAGAAAAGGTGATCCATGTTGGAGTAGTTTGACTTACCCTTCCTTCTCTTCTTAGGACAAGATGGGTGGGAAGAGAGGAAGTACAGATATTGCTAAAAGTAGAGATTAGAGCATTTTTAAATGCTGAGCCTTCATACCATAGGGATAATTGGGAAAGTAGGGAAATTGGGCAGCAGTGAGCCAGCTCCCACCTTTCTGTGGAACTCCTCCCTACCACCCCCCACCTTCCAAGCAAAGAGGAGGAAGGGCAGAGCCTTTTAGCTGCATCTCTGTGCCCTAGTTTACTTTAAAAATTTTTTTGAAAGGGTAAATATAGTCATATTCAAAGTTACAAAAGGGCAAACAGAATTCTCCTTTCTACCTGTCCCCATTCTCATTTCTTGTGTGTCATCTTTTGTCTCCAATTTTTATACAAGTAATAAAACTTTGCTGCACTTTGCTTCCCCCCCCCACTTGTTTATGTATCTTAGAGATTATTCTCTATCAAGACAATGAGCCTCTTCATTCTTTTTTATGACTGCATAGTATTCCATTTTATGTTTGTGTAAAAGTCCATAGTTCCTTGCTGATATTTAGGCTATTGTAGTCTTTTGGTTTTATAAATAATGCTGATATGAAAACCTTGTACACAGATGTAGGGCTATATCTATAGGATGAATTTTTAGAATCGGAAGGTTCTATATAAAGAGGATTTGTTCCTTCATTTGTTCGTTCATTCACTTAATATTTGTTG